TTTTTTTTTTTCCTGGAGCCTCACTCTGTTGTCCCAGGCTAGAGTGCCATAGTGTCATACCTCACAGCAACCTCAAATCCTGGGCACAAGCCAACCTCTCACTTCAGACTCCCACATAGCTGGAACTACAGATGTGCGCCACCACACCCATGTAATTTTTCTATTTTTAGTAGAGACAGGGTCTGGCTCTTGCTCAGGCTGGTCTCTAAACTCCTGAGCTCAAGCAGTCCACTCACCTCAGCCTCCCAGAATGCTGAGATCACAGGCATGAGCCACCACGCCTGGCCTTTAATAGCTCTTTAGACTTTCATTTATTTTTTATAAGGACTCACTTTGGAAGAATTAACAGGATTTTCCTGTGTTGTAGTCTGTGTTGTAGTATTTGAAAAATTATCAATTCTTTTTCCTTTAAACATGCTACAAAGGACTCAGACAAGGAGCAATTGTCCTATTTTGGGGGAGTATGTATGAAAAACAGATTTATTCACCCTAACTAAAAATATGACCCACACAGTATTTGAAGGATATCTGTGGATCAAAATAATGGGTTTTAGAGGTAAGAAGCTTTCAGTTTAAATTCAGCTCTACCTTACAATACCTATGTAACCTTGAACCCTCTTATTTGAAAGCTTTGAACTTCACTTCTCGCTTGTAATAGTAATTACAAGGTAATAGTACTTTATAGGATACTTATAAATTAAAATATGAAAGCAAATAGAAAACACATAACCCAGTGCTTGGCATGTAGTAAGGATAGTAGGTCAAACATCTCAAATACCTGTGTTTTATCTCACCTAATTATTAATGAATAGCTGATGGTTAGTGGACAGTTTTACTAAAACTTCTTTTTCCCTTTATAATAGTGAAATTAAATGGTGGCAGGCGTGTCCAAAGAGTATTGTGGGGATTTGGTCCCTTTATGAATCTTGTGATGGATGAATGTGTGGAGATGGCAACTAGTGAGCAACAGAACAATATTAGAATGGTGGTAAGTAAAAATATAAAACATCTCTTAGACATTTCTTTTTTTTTTTTTTTAGACAAAGTCTCATTATGTTGCCCTCAGTAGAGTGCCATGGTGTCACAGCTCACAGCAACCTCAAACTCTTGGGCTTAAGCAATTCTCTTACCTCAGCCTCCCAAGTAGCTGGGACTACAGGCACCCACCACAACACTGGCTATTTTTTTGTTATAATCGTCATTGTTGTTTAGCAAGCCTGGCCAGGTTTGAGCCCACCAGCTCCAGGGCATGTGGCCAATGCCCTAACCACTGAGCTACAGGCACTGAGCCTAGACATTTCATTTTTCTTTTGGAATGTGTATTTACTTTCCTTATATCAAACTCTTGAATTAAACTGAAGTTAATAACCCCCAGAAAAAGCAAATAACTGGCAAGAGTAGACCTCCCATCTCCTTTTTAATGTATGGCAGTCTTTTCAGCTGTGGTAATATTCAGTTACCTGTAGGTTTCTGTCTCAACTATGTAGAACTTCTAAGGTCCTAGGGCTTAAAATAGTTGTTGGAATTTTTTTTTTAATTCTAATTTTTTGAGACAGAGCTCGCTCTGTCACCCTTGCAGTGACATCATCACAGCAATATTATCACAGCTCACTGCAACCTCAAGCTCCTGGGCTCAAGTGGCCTTCCTGGGACTACAAGTTCACACCATGCCTGGCTAGTTTTCTATTTTTTTTTGTAGTTACAGGGTTTTGCTCTTTTTCAGGCTGGTCTTGAACTCCTGAGCTCAATGGATTCTCCCCCTGGGGCTCCCAGAGTGCTAGGATTATAGGCATGAGCCAATGAGCCCCACTGGAAATGGTTTTTGACCTTTATAATATGTAGTAGTGGCCCATAGTCATTCATTACAGCAGTAGTTCTCAAACTTTAACATGTGTATTAATCCCTGGGGAATCTTGTTGATGAGGTCTTGCTCTGGCTTACCTGTGAACTCAGGGAATCCACCCACCTCGGCCACCCAGAGTTCTAGGATTACAGGCGTTAACCACCATGCCTGGCCATGGCAGCCGGGTTCTTATAAAAACAGTTTCTAAATACTCCAAGGTTTTCTTCTAACCCTTTTTATACAAACTGGGAAATCTTTATTCTAATAGAGGATAGATTAGGTTTTTAGTTTTTTTTCAACAAATCTGCTGAAAAAGATTCAGAAAGGTCTTGGAATATTAAATGTCAGTTCTGATTTGAAAAGGTAACTTTTTTTTTTGGATTTTTTTTTTTTAAGAGACACAGTCTCACTTTATTGCCCTTGGTAGAGTGCTGTGGCATCACAGCTCACAGCAACCTCCAACTCCTGGGCTAGGCAATTCTCTTGCCTCAGCCTCTCAAGTAGTTGGGACTACAGGCACCCGCCACAACGCCCAGCTATTTTTTGTTGCCATTTGACTGGGACCAGGTTTGAACCTGCCACCCTTGGTATATGGGGCCAGCATCCTACTCACTGAGCCACAGGTGCTACCCGAAAATGTTACTTTTTAGAGACTTGCTGACATTCTGCTCATTGGAGCTTTATCAGAAAAAGAACTGAGTTTAGATCTTGGATCCTTTTCACAACTTTCTCCTTAAATTGGTCAGCAGAGTCTTTACTTTGAAAATGAAGTAATGATAATACATCAGTGATCTTTTTTTTTTTTTTTTTTTGAGACGGAGCCTCAAGCTATCCCCCTGGGTAGAGTGCCATGGCTGCACAGCTCACAGCAACCTCTAACTCCTGGGCTCAAGCGAGTCTCCTGCCTCAGCCTCCCAAGTAGCTGGGACTATAGGCACCCACCACAGAGCTGGCCATTTTTTTTGTTGCAGCCATCATTGTTGTTTGGCGGGCCGGGGCTGGGGATTCGAACCCGCCACCTTAGGTGTATGTGGCTGGCGCCTTAGCCACAGGCGCCGAGCCAGTGATCTTTAATAAAAAGACGTTTTAAAGAAACTGTAAGAACAGAAATGGACTTTTGACTTTTCTGAAGCTGGAAGAAGGGAAACAAACAGGTTAAGTTTATGTTCATTTTGTTTTGGCAGAAAGTTTTTGGTAACGGAGACAGTTTTATAAATACCTGGTCTATCTCAGTGACCCATAAAGGTCACTGAAATTACTTAATACTGCTGTATTAAGAACATATATGTTTTGAGGGGGAGTTAATTTATTTTTAGGATCTGTCAGCTGGATAGTTACCTAATGGTAAATCTCAACTACCCTCTTCTGAGACATTTCAGAGTTGTCAGTGGCATCACTTCTGTTGTATTTTCTTTAGATTCCACTACACCTCAGGTTACCTCTAAGAATATAGTAAAAATTCTACACTTTATTATGCTACACAGTTCAGGAACTGTTATTACAGTTCTGCTTCTTTTTTTTTTTTTTTGGAGATAGTCTCAAGCTGTCGCCCTGAGTAGAGTGCCATGGTGTCACAGCAACCTCAAACTCTTGAGCTTTAAGCTATTCTCTTGCCTCAGCCTCCCAAGTAGCTGGGACTACAGGTGCCCACTACCACACCCAGCTATTTTTTGGTTGTAGTTGTCATTGTTGTTCTGCAGGCCAGGGCTGGATTTGAACCCGCCAGCTCTGGTGTACGTGGTTGGTGCCCTAGCCGCTGAGCTACACCAAGCCATATAGTTCTTCTATAACTCCATGTTGGTCTCATATTCTTCTTAGCTAGCTGCCCTTTCAAGAGGCTGAAAATAATTCTGGACCTGATGATCCCAGCTTGTTTTTTTTATTTAATTTTTGTTTGTATTTTTTATTTCAGATTAATATGACAGTACAAATGACTAGGTTACAATGTTTGCATTACTAGGCAAGGTCCCTGTTGCAGTTGTGTCCTGAACCCAGGAAGTGTGCCATATACCCTTACATTGTGCCCATTAAGTGGGGGCACCCTGATCTTCCCCCTTCCCCCTCACTTTCTCTCCCCTTTCTCCCCTCAATCCTTCTCCCTCCTCCCCCATTTTAATTTCATTGAGTTTTTCTCTTGTGTGGGTGTGTATTTGTTCATCTACTGGCTTCATATTAGTATTGAGTACACTGGATTCTTGCTTTTCCATTCTTGTGATACTTTACTAAGTAGAATGTTCTCCAATTCCAACCAGGTTAATAAAAAAGATGTAAAGTCTCCCTCTTTTTTTATGGGTGAATGGTATTACATGGTATGCATATACCACAACTTATTAATCCATTCATGGGTGGATGGGCACTTGGGTTGTTTCCACATCTTGGCAATTGTCAATTGAGCTGAGAAAAACAATGTAGTGCAAATGTCCTTATGATAAAATGATTTTTTTTTTCTTCTGGGTAGATGCCTAGTAATTGCAGAATCAAATGGGAGGTCTATTTTGAGTTCTTTGAGAAATCTCCACATTACTTTCCAAGGAAGCTGTACTAGTTTGTAATCCCACCAGCAGTGTAAAAGTGTTCCCTTCTCTCCACATCCACGCCAGCGTCTGCAGCTTTGGAACTTTGTGATGGTTCCAGTTTGATTTGGATATTAGGCCTCAAACACAATAACAAAAGAGGAAGACTATTACAAACCTCCTTGTCCTCTGAGTGGATGCCTAAAACCTCACACAGTAGCAAGCTCTATATATACTGTGTATGAATGTATTTTTCTTTCTTCACAATTTCATGCATAGAAAGTTGGTTCTTACTAGAAATCTTTGCAACCCCAGCATGTCATTTTTTTTTCTTTCCTTATTCACTTAAAGGAAGCACTTTATGGCTTTTCTTTGGCATATATGTATTGCCAGCATCACTACTCTTGAACTTTGGGTCAATTATTAAGTAAAATAAGGGTTTCTTGAACCAAGTACTGTGATACCCCAACAGTCAGTCTGAGATAGCCAAGTGACTAATGGGAGGCTGACAGACACTGGACAAAGGGAGGATTCATATGCCTGGCAGGACATCATGAGAGTTCATCACACTACTCAAAAGGTAGATAATTTATCTTCAACAGAGGATAAAACTACAGTGGGAAGAGGACAGTCGCTTCAATAAATGGTGCTAGAAAACTGAATGTCCATATGCAGAGGAATAAAACTAGACCCTTATCTCTCACCATCTACAAAATTGGATCAAATGTATTAAAGACTTAAATCTAAGACCCAAAACTATAAAATTAATAAAAGCAAGCAGGGGGGGAAACACTTTAGGACATTGGACTGGGCAAGGACTTCTTGGGTAATACTCTCAAAGAATAGGCAACCAGGGCAAAATTGGACAAATGGGATCATTGAGCTAAAATTAACTGTGCTCAGTAAAACTGCTCTTTAATTCTTTGCCACCTTCTCAACAAACTCATTGCTAATATTGTCAGCCTAGATCCAAGACATTTTTCCCGCCAGTCATTTTCCCTTCTACTCTGTCATCTGCAGTAGTCACATGTGAGTTCATTTGTTTATTTAACAGGTACTTGAGCCCTCTACATCTTAGGCACTGGAGATTTCACACCAGACACTGCCCTTGTAAAATTTACATTTGCACAGGGAAGACGATCATAGTGTGTATATAAACATAGCAAGCATATGAAGGGAGACAAGAACAAGTTACATAGCTCCACTTTGAATCTTTATTTTTTCTTTTTTGGAAACAGGGTCTTACTCTGTCTCCTGAGCCAGAGGTGCAGTGGCATTATCGTAGCTCATTGCAACCTCAAACTCCTGGCCTCAAGGAATCCTCCCACCTTGGCTTCCCAAAGTTCTGTCATTATAGGCGTGAGCCACTGCACCCAGCCTGAATCTTATCACTCAGAATGCCTCCACTTGTAATAAGCAATTCAAATTAGTATATTTTCTCTCATTCCCCCCCTTTCACCTATTCAAGACCGATCACTACAGGTTATTGTGATCTACAACGTATTGGGGATTTCTTGTTTTCACTCCCCTAGCTTTCCAGTTTCATGTCCTTTTCTACCCCTTTTGAATTCATATGCCAGCTGTTTCACCTATGCTTTCCTCAGTATTCTTGCTTACCTTCATTTATGGCATGTCTATTACGTCTGGTACTGTTCTCTTTGGGCCCTTTCTTATCCTGCCTCTAAACTCTCTCCTATTCAAACTTTTATACTATATGTTGTTGCCAGAATAGTTATGATTGTCATTCCCCTGACTGTAACTTTCATTGGGTCATTGTGGGTTTCTTGAGGCCCTCCAAACACTCTAAAATTGGCCTTTGAGGCCATCTAAGATCGGATGCCAACTATCTTTGTTTCCCTTCATGCCACTGAGCCAAATTAGATTATTTTCCTATCCCTTTATGTTTCTTCTTAGTCTGCCTAGACTTTCCTATTTTCTTCTCAAAATTCTACCTAATTTCCAAGGCCTAAGTAAAATCTCATTTTCATAAAGTCTACCTTTAAGAATTTCCATCCTGGCTTGGTGCCTGTAGCTCAAGCAGCTAAGGCGCCAACCACATACACCTGAGCTGGCGGGTTCAAATCCAGCCTGGGCCCACTGAACAATGACAGCTGCAACCAAAAAATAGATGGGCACTGTGGCAGGCACATGTGGTCCCAGCTACTTGGGAGGCAGAGGCAGGAGAATCGATTGAGCCCAGGCGTTGGAGGTTGCTGTGAGCTATGATGCCACAGCACTCTACCCTGGGCGACAGCTTGAGGCTCTGTCTCAAAAAACTTCCATCCTGGTTTCATGATCTTACACCTCTGATAGGTCCCTAACGTATCTAACCTATTCTACTGTACCTGTTTGTCCTACTAATTTGATTACCTTAGGAATAAGGATGGGCATATTCATTTGAGTCTTGCAGTTTAGAAGGTGAAGAGTGAGTAGAGACGTGGCATCTCATAATGGTAATTGTTAGCCTATGATCTGGAAGATGTGAATCTTACAAAGGGCTTAGTGCCTTTATGTCTAGACTTACTGTGGCTTGAAAAAAGCCTCACAAACTGACATGTAATATTGGAAAACCATCAATGATTTGGTTGAAATTCTTTAATCATCATTGATATTTTAAATGAATTACTCTCTTCAGATAGACCTTTCTCTTTTTTAGGTAATATGAAGAAATAGTATCATGATGTTAGAAGCCTTGGAACCAATATAAATAATTGGCATTCAATAGAGAAATCTATGTCCCCTTTTCAAATGGTCTGTTTTGTATCAGGCCCTGATATCAAAATCAGGTCATGAACATTTTCATACTAAACTTCTTGTTAAATACATTTTTGTAATAAAAACTGCTTTCTCAGATGTTCTGAACATAAGAATATTAACTCTTTTTTTAACTTTTTCTAACATGAATTTTAGAAACTAATTACTCTCATGGTTAAGATTAATTTCAAAGGGTTTTATGCATTAAAGTGGAAAAATCTTATTAAATATAAAACATGGCAAGGATTTCTTTTCTCCATCTTTCAACATTGAACAGATAAGCTGCAGACCTGAGGGGAGTTTCTTCTAAAACATTAACTGTAATTTTCAAAGTTTAAGGGCAGTAACTTTGATCTACTCACACTTTTCCAAGTACATCTCCATTCCACACATAGTACAACAAAAGTAAAACAGAGAAGTAATGTTGCCAAGTATTAATGTAGTTGTTTATTTTGAAGAGAATCATTAACTGGGGAAAAATTTGAATTCAATAGTAGAAACTGAATTCCAGAGAAAAAAACATTCCAGTGTATTTTTTTTTTTTTTGAGTAGAGAAACAGTAGTGTCCACAAGATATTCATTTAGGTGATGAATTTTATAGCCCACAAGCTCAGATGAGAGGTATATCACAGATGGCTTTATTATAAACCTAATTCTTAAGAAACTCTACCGCAAATGCTTAAGGCCTATTCTTTTTGTGATCTAGTAAAAATCTTGCAAATCTTGAATCACTTTAAAACTGTATAGAATGGAATATACATAAGTTGAGTACAAGGTTCTTGTAAAGCACAGAACACAGTAAATGGCTTTTATATCTCTCTAAAATGGTATTATTTCCTATTTATAGAAAATGTTTACAACAAAAGAACAGCTAGAGAGATCAAGCTGTTGATCTAAGTCACACTAACTAGAGTCCATACATTTTATTCTTCAGTTCTTCAGCAGCTCCTTGTAAATCTTACACTTTTTCACAGCAACATCAAGCTGAATTATAAAACAAGTTCTCCAAGTATGGTTCCTAAAACAGTAGTTTCACCAGAGAACTTTAAAAAAATGTAAATTTTTTATCAGACTATAAACCCGTTCAATAAATAAATTCTGAGGGTGGGGGCCAGCAATGTTTTAACAAGCCCTCCAGGTAATTTCTGATGCATGCTCAACCACTGGAGAGAGCTGACTTTCATTCAGCACCTGCATCATTTTTACCAGTTCATCTGTAAAAATTAGAGTACTAGAGTGTTCTCCTAGAGTAATGAGCCCTATTTTTTCTTCCCATAAAATTATTCTTTAATACTATGATTGCATTAAAACTAATACACCTGGAGCAGCAAGAACTGATAGAATTTTTCTCTCACTAGTCTTTTAATACTGTAGGTGCATTAAAATTACCTAATATGCCTGATGTATTGATAATCTGTTTTGGTTTTGAGAAAGCAATAACACCAGCAACATTTTAAATTGGTATTCTTAAGAGTAAAAATATATCCCATTGCAAAACAAGTTTACAAAGTATAGAAATTAGCTTATTTCATTAGTATGTACCAATATTTAGCATATATGTAGCAGTATTACATTCTCCACAAATTGTCTTCATAAAGATCACAATAGGAAAAAAATGAGTGCCTCCTAACATATGTTCAGAATGAAATTACAAAAAAGCTGACCTTTGACAAACTATGAGTTTAATCCCTGCCTCTGTATCAAATGTACGTTGGCAGTTTTATCAGCATAGTAATAGTCAAAACTATAACAGGGAAATTGTTTTTATTAAAAATCAATGTTCTCGGCTCGGCGCCTATAGCTCAACCGGC